TCTCAGAGAAACCATACATATTTAGATGAACACAGCTAGCCACAGAAAAAAAACCTATAAGACTATTCTGCACGTAAGTAATTCTTAATATATGCTTCCACTATATAAAGCAACCTAGAAGAGAAAATGAGATGTATGCCATATACCATATTCCTGAATGTGGTGCAGGTTCTTCTTTCTTCTGCATGTTTGGCTCTTCTTTCCCCAAATGCTTTTATTTCATGCTTAACAGACTGTTTCCAAGTGCTTTGATCCTCAGCAATCTTCTCCTAGTCATTTGACTCAATGTTCATTACCTTCATATCTCTCCTGCAAACATCTTTGAAATGGAGATAAGGACACCTGTGTGGTCTTCCTGTAACAAGTACTTCATACAAGAGATCCTTGGGTATATGGCCATTACACATTCTCCATATATGACCATGCCATCCAAATCATCACTGCCTGAGGAGAGAATGTATGCTCAGAATGTCAGTACATTCCAGTACCTCAGCACAGGCAACTTTGTCCCACCAGGAAATTCCTAGTGTGCGATGAAGACAACGGAAGTGAAAGCTGTTGAGTCAATTTCCTTAAGTAGAGTATGTGGCCCAGTATTTCCTGCCATACAAAAATGTGTTGATAAGGCAAGAATTATATACTTAGATCTTGGTCTTAACAGTCTTTTTGTTGTTGTTGCACACACATTTGCTCAACGTGCCCTTGATACCCAGTGCTTTACCAATACAGATATTCAGTTCAGCCTCAAGTGACAAGTTGCTGGTAACAATGGAGTAAAGGAATGTAAATTTACTTACAATATCCAATATGTTTTCATCAATTGTGATCACTGGTGATGAAACAATGTTCTGGCCCATAACATTGGTCTATTTGATGTTGAGTATAAGACCAAATTCTTGGCAAGCATGAGCGAGGCAACTAATGAGGCTTTGAAAGTCACTCTCTGTGTAAACTATCCATGCAGCATCGTCAGCAAACAGTAACTCACAAGTCAGATTTTTCCTCACTTCAGTCTTTGCTTGAAAGTGTGTGAGGTTGAATAATTTTCCATCTGAGCATGTATATAGATAAATGTCTTTGGTGATAGTCCCAAAAGAGCACATCAGAAGAGAAAAGAAAATCCTGTACAAGGTCAGGGCAAAGATACAGCCCTGTTTGACTTGGCTTCAAATCTCAAAAGCCTCAAACATTGATCCATCATAGGCTGACTGTTCCCCATATTCCATCATGCAATATGGGCATGCTGAAGAACTTTGGTGGACATCCAATCTTTCCCAATAATTTGAAGAGGCCTTTTTTAATCACAAGGTCGAAGGCCAAAGAAGGTGATAGAGCAGTCTCCTTTGTTTCCTATGTTTTTCTTGGATTTGTCAGAGTGGAAAGATCGTATTCACAGTGAACCTACTAACTCTGAAGCTTCACTGAGACTCAGGGTCAATAAAGTCAGCAACTATCTAAAGTGTTCTGAGTACTACCCATGCATTGATCTTTGCGACACTGCCTAATAGTGAAATGTCACAATAATTGTTGCAGTTGCTGTGGTCATATTTATTCTTGTACAGTAACTATAACTCACATACCTTTGTCCCTACTGTCCAACAGTGAGTAAGAAGCTCAAATAAGAGGGAAAAAGCACGGGTTTCCTGTATTTGATGACTTCCATGGAAATGCCATCTTTCCCAGAGGTCTTGACAATGGCCAGATCGTCTATGGCCTTTCTTAGATCCTCAACAGTTGGAATATCATCAAGCTCTTCAAGGACAGACTATCAATAGAGTTAATGTCTCTGTCAGTGACATCACTTTCCCTTAAGCAGAGTCTAAGATAGTGTTTTACCCATCCTTCTATCTATGACTTTTGATCTGTTATGACATCTAATGCTGTCTTTAATGGAACTGACTTCTTTGCAATTAGACGTAGCACCTTCTTGATTCCATGATACATGCCTCTGATGTTTCCAGTGTCAAATAAGGATTGAATTTTCTCGCCGTAGCAGCCAATAGTCACTATATAATCTTATTAAAATTTATCTACATGTGTGTATGTATGAATACATATACATTTCTATATATATTAAATAAATGAATTTTTGTATATATGTGTGCATGTATGTACACAAACTTATTTACTAGGCATATTTTGAGGTGAAGAATGAACAGCTCCTCTCCAAAATTTCAGTGAACACTGGCCCATCACTCAGCTGAAAGGAGATTAGATTCCATGTAAAATCAGATACTTCTACAAGCGTAGGATCATGTGAACCTGCAAAAATTCACTTAGTTGTATGTTTTTAGAACTACACTTCATGATATTCTCCTAAAAAGAAAACAAAAATCAAAAATACAAAAAGCGTTTGTGTTTTACAAAAACCATGCAACTGCTCATATCCTAGCTATTATTTTTAAGTCACAAGGTACAAACTGATACATGGTTTGGCAAATGCATCATCTGTGTTAATATTAAAGTCATCTTGTGACTAGATGAGAATAGAAAGCCTCCCAATTAACCGAACAAGAAGGTCCCAGTACCACAGTACTGAAGGCAACAGCCAAACTCCACACTGACTTCAACAGAGACAAGGGGATATGATCAATTCTACAAAACCATGGAGATCTTTATATAAACAACCTTATAGGGAAATGAAAAGCTTTATTGGAGTAAAACAAAGAAGTACATCAAGAAACTGCCTCATTAAGAGAAAGGTGACACAAATAACTTGAAGGAAAAATTAGCTGCTAGATAGATCTATCATATAATAATCCTATGCTTTCAAGAATTAAAATTGCTTTATACTGTAGGTTTGGGTAGTGGTTTCTTTCCACATAAAACTTACCATACTTACTTTTACCTGAAAATCATCAAGACAAATATTTGGAAATGTATTGAGAAACAGCTTATATATATTCAGCAAATACTTTCAGCATTGGAAAAATTGTATAATTGAATACATATGTTCTTTATTAACTGCTGTTATACTTACCTCACACAAAGATTGGAAGTTTTTGAAGTACAGTTGACAATTTGCAAAATAAATATTTCCACAAAATCATTTAAAATACCAACTCCCTTAAAAACACTTCTAAAAATTTACTTCAAGAGAAAGTGTAGCTTGATGCTTTCATATTTAAAAAAATCCAGCAAATATGTGTTTTGATTGCTGTGTTTCAGAGCAAAAAAGTCCTTTATTTTAGGCTCTGATAATATTCCCCACTCAATTCAATAAAAATCCTCACTAAGTTTAGAGTTAAGTATGTGCAAGTCTTCACACACAGTCTAAGTTTACTGCTATACGTTTCAAGGATTTCTCTTTCTTTTGCCTGTGTTTTCAGTCGTACGATTTTTGTCTGTGGCAGTAGATTATTTACCTCTGAGGACCTTATGGAGAACAGGAAGATATGGTTTAAACTCAACACTTTGCCTCCATTCACACTGAAGAAATCTGTTATACTTTCACTTCATCAATTCAGAGAGATCTCCAAATTGCTCTTCAATTGACTTTCAGAGGTACCAATGTACTTAGTTAGCACAGGCATGTGACAGTGAGCCACTGGTAGGGTGCAAAAGTCTCTTCTCATAGCTGATACCGTAAATCAAATTGAACCTTGACAAGTTCATGACAGGGATTATCATACAGACATAAATGCACAATTTTATCCTGAATACACCAAAAATACCTGTGTGGATGGTATACAACTCTATCAAGACACCTAGGGAAATAAGTATCTCCTGAAAAATAATACATAAACATACGTTGGGCACTAAGTAACTAATTTTCCAAGTTATGTGATAATTCACTTTTGTGGAGTTGAAAGAAGGGTCAAGGAATCGCTTACACACATTCCACTCATCAGGTGCCAAGGGACAGAAAGGGATGAGGAAACCAGGTCAACAAAGGTATATTTTCCTTCTCTAAAGATTCTACTAATTAAAACAGGCTACTTCAGCCAAAAATGGACAACCAGAGGAGGAAGTGAGGCTGAGAGGTAAGGGCACTGAACTAGGGCTTGTGAGACCTGGTGATTCCCAACTCTACAACTCATTTGCTACGTGACCTTAGGGCAAGCTCCTTGCTGTCTTTCTGACTCAGCTACCTCATCTGGAAAATAGGAACAATGATACTCACCTCCTTTGTAAAGAAAGGACTTTGAGATTTACAAATGAAAACTGTTCAGTAAGAGCAAGATAACTGTTGTTAATAGTAAGTCATTAATCCCAGTGCATATCAATGTGTAACCTGTGGAGTCTTTTATCACTGGTATAGAAACTGCACTTACCTGATGAAGTATTACAGATGTTATATATGTTAAATAAACTTATATGCTAACTGATGCTGACTGACATTTTGAAAATTGTCCACATTTCAACCAAAATAAAAAACATTTTTTTTATCACTAAAATTGTCACTAAAAAGGTTTGCAACATTTTGACCAGGTTCAAAAAGAGCTGTTACTCTGAAATTGTAGCTTAATTCAATAGTCTAAATGGTTCATTTATAAAACCTATTCTATAACTTCTTAACTTAATTTTGCTCTTATGTTGATCTGCCCCTTACTGCAGCTGGTCACCAAAACCATTTACTTTAATCATCATTTTTGTCTTCCAGATTTCACAGAATCATACAAAATTAGGTTGGAGGGGACCTCAGGAGGTCATCTAGTCCAGCCCATTCTCAAAGCAGGACCAGCCCCAACTAGATCATCTCAGTCAGGATTTTGTTGAGTTGGGCCTTAAAAACCTTGAAGGATGGAGATTCCACTATCTTTCTAGGTAACTTGTTCCAGTGCTTCACCACCCTCCTAGTGAGAAAGTTTTTCCCAAAATCCAATCTAAATCTCCCTTTGTGTTGTCCTTCTCTCTCCCAACATCTCTATGTTATTTCTTCCTTTCTGCTGCTACTTCTAACACAGAGTCACACCATAAGTTTGCTGTGTATATATATTCGTTTTTTTAAAGAGAAAGAAACCCAACAAGAGCACGTGACATTAAATTAAGCTACTTACCAACTATTGCCAGATTATGTTCTGAGCCACATGCAATCTGCAAAAGAAATGTGAACAAATGAAAGAATATATAAATACAAGTAATAATGGGGTAACAATAACCACATTTAAAACTGAAAATTAAAAAAGGGAGGAACAAGTGAGTTTATAAAAGGTAAAAACAAGTCGAGAGTGCTCTGTGAGGTTTCAGAGGAAATTCACTGAGTTGTTTTGTTAACAGGCAACTATTTATATTTCAAAAACCAATCATACTTGGTACTTCTATGCATCAGAATTCTGAAAAGACCTATGTACACATTCAGTAAAAACTGTTTATGTATATGTTGGTACTGTAGGCAAACCAGCAGTGATTCTATCCTCACTGGTTTTGGCTAGAGAAGAAAAAATTATGGTAAAGGACTGAATACACCTGCAGACAAGGTTCCTTGGGTGAATTTGATATCTTTTATTAGACCAACCCAAATAGTTGAAGAATAGTTATTAAGCAAGCTTTTGGGTTCAAAAACCCTTCGTCAGGTTAAGGAAGTTTCAGCAGTTGGTGTGTGTTCTTCCTGGATGGAATGAAAAGTAAAGAAGTAAAGAAAAAATTGCAACCCATACTAGACAGAGACCCTATTCTTAAAAAGATCTTCCCAGAGCCACCCATCCTAGCCTTCAAACAAGCACCAAACCTTGCCAACCTCATCACCAGAAGCAAACTTCCTCAAGCCCAGAACACACCAAAAGGATCCAGAACGTGCCATGACAAGAAATGCAAAACCTGCCAACACATCTCCACCACCCCCACTATTACTACACCCCACAACAGAGCCATCAGCATCCCAGGATCTTACAGCTGCACCTCCAGAAATGTAATATACCTCATCCAATGCACCAAATGCCCTGATGGAAGATATGTAGGAGAGACCAAACAACAACTGCGCACCAGAATGAATGCACACCGGAAATCCATCAAAGACAGAAACACTCAATTACCGGTGAGGGCACATTTCTCACAGGAGGGCCACTCTCTCTTCAATCTCTCAGTCCTGATCCTCAAGGGAAACTTACACAACACTTCCCAGAGACGAGCCTATGAGCTCCATTTCGTCAACCTGCTGGATACTAGAGATCATGGACTAAACATAGACATTGGATTTTTGACACATTATAATCTGCCTGGCAACTGACTCCCCAAGAGCACACACCAACTGATGAAACTTCCTTAGCCTGACGAAGGGTTTCTGAACTCGAAAGCTTGCTTAGTAACTATTCTCCAACTATTTGGGTTGGTTTAATAAAAGATATCAAATTCACCCAAGGAACCTTGTCTGCCAATGTCCTTAGACCAACACGGCTACAACCTAAACCCCTGAATACACCTGAGCTCTTTCCCCCAGTATGAAACCCAGTTTTATTGGTTTTTTAATTTGCAAAGCTAGAACTATAAGGGAGACAATAATGAAATACTATTTTCCTGGCTTGCTTGCTAATGGCACTATCAGAAAGTGCCCTGGAAATCAGCTACTGTAACCAATGATCCCCCCCACCCAAACTCTTACAATCAATCCCACTAGGTGCATCTGTGATGAAAGTCTGAAAGGTTCTTTTCCCTCCTCCTCCACCCTACAAGCTACCGAGGACTTTAAGCCACAGAGCACCTAAAAATAATCTAATCAACAGACGCATCAGCACAGATGCCTTCCTGAATCAGATAAGTAAAAGATTTCTCTTTCTTTTTAAAATAAGACTGTATAGTACGAAGCATTTTTTTCTCCTTTTTTCTTGTAGAGATGTGAAATGCTTGAGCTACTACAGCACACATCACAGTATATTAGTGACCAAGGCTTTGTACCATAAATCATCAATATTTCAAAAGAATGTTGTGTTAGTGCTGCCAGTCTGCAGAGAAGGTAGACACAGCATCCTTCTGAAATACCGGCTGCAGATAATAGACGTCTGTCTCTCACACACATCATGCTGGACTTCACTGTACAAGATTCTTCCTGGTTTTAATAATCTTTTCAAAAAGCAATCGCCGAGAATGAAACCAAACTCCCAGTTAATTACAAACCTGGCAACTTACCACTGATCACTATGATTACTGACCTACCAAGAAACAAATATGGTCAAATAACAATATTGTTTTTAAAGTATTCATATACAACCAAGGCTAATTCATTCATAATTTTTAAGGATGCAATACAGCTTTATGATCCCCTGGACTGAGACACTGGATAAAATAGTTCATGAAATTTAGCCAATAGATTTCTGCATCACAGTGATTGAGTTAAAATATCTCTTTTACAAAGGCACCTGATATTGATATAAAAACTAGCCTGATTTACTGCATTACAAGTACATGCTATGATCAAGGGAAATGACTATGCAAAGCATCGCAACTGTGACATGAAAACACCTTATTAGTGCACAGCGCTATGCTAAGGAAGTTAACAACTGAGCTGAAACCTCTCATTAGGTTTGAATTTATTTACCTAAGGAAGGAAAGCGTAAGAAAAATAGTAGTTTTAAAAGCTGTTTCACATTTTGTAATGACTCATTTTTAGAGCAATTAACACATGAAGAATCAGAGAAAACAATGCCTTTCAAAGAGTATTGGTGAAATAAGCTTGAAGCATCTATCTTGCAATATTTCAGATACACAAAGCATCAAGTACCAGTATATTAAAATGCATAACACATCGCTGTATTGTTGTACTCTTCACATGACAGAGCCCTCCATGATAGCAGTACTGATTTTCAATGCATTTTCATTGGTTGATAAATCCCACCAGTGATGCTAGGGTTTAAAGGTCAATGCCATGGAAACAAGATCTACACATGGTAAGACATGTGAAGGTCTAAAAAAAAAAAATAGCAATATTGGTGTCTTTGCTGAACAGCAAAAAATGAGACCTTAAAGCTGATGATAAAATATTTTAAAAAATATATATAAAGCATGATGAATCTAAGCTCAACTTCTGTACACAAAACACTGAAGACAGACACTGTTTCAGAAGCCTTGGTGTAAACAGGACACTCGCTGCAGTTCTGCATGTCTCATCCTTAGGGCTAATGACCCTTTCAGAAAGACTGTGCATTCAAAAGAAGAGTGTGCTGATTAGAATGTGTGACAAGGAACCATCTTGCTTCAATAGCAAATAACTATGATTATCCAGTCCACAACCCTGATGGATAAATAGAGCTGATGATCACTCACTGTATCTAAGTCTACTCATGCACCTGTCACCACTGAGATGTCCCTGCCTGTCTTACACAGCCATACACAATCTATTTTACCAGGGTATGCTATGGTATCTGCCCCAGTGAGAGCTCCACATTAAGCAGACAGAGAATGGCTACATTACAGGCCCTGCCTACCCAATGTAAAAAATGCCATTTGTACAGCCACACTAACAAAGCCCCTAGGAATAAATGGGGCAATAATCCACTATAACCCACAATTTACATCAGTGCAGCATATCCCATTTTTAAGCAGGTTTAAACTGCTTTGGTGGAAATACCAGCTTTGCTACACAGCCATAATTAAAACAAATTCCAAGTGCAGGTTAGACCATATGCCAGTGGTTCTCAAGCTTTTTGAACTTGAGGCACCCCCCACTGGACTTCAGGCACCCTTCCATAACTTTTGTGAACCGTCTGCCAATTTCAAAAACTAATTTATAGATTACAGGGCTTACATCCTTCAAAGATCTGGTGCCCACTCAGAGGACACCCTGGTTGAGAATCACTACCATAGGTAGAGGTCTTTGATTTGCCTTCACTAGCACAGAATGGGGAAATAGCAACTCAGGTACCAGCAGCAGCTGCTGTGCTCCAATACACCCAACAGGTCAATACATACTCTCACTACTGTCCAACCCTGGGGTTTCATCATTTTAAAATGTAGCCTGGACTGCCACAGGCTGGAAATTACTAAATCAACACATCCCTCTAGCAACCCATCCACACCCTCTCCATCAATGCCATTCACTGTAATCTATAACAGCCACTGGCAGGAACCCTGCTAGACACCTTGCCTCTCTCTAACACAGAAGACAGAATAACCCAGAGCAGAATCAAAACCTGACCCAGTGTGCCATACCACCTTGAGAGCATCCCAGAGGGCAGGTAACTTTAAGAATAACCTCTAAAATATGAATTGCTCCTCCACTCCTGATTTAAACAATATTTACCCAAAGTAGAAACCTTTTTAAGAGACCCCAGTACATATGGAAGGTGACAGCAAGGGCATGGATGTTACCAAAAGGAAAAAAAAGCCAGCTGACTCATGCTTACATTAGATGCAACTCATTCAAGCAGTCACTAGTTTTGTAAGGCAATCCTGGTATTTACTGCAACAGCCTTCATATTTCGGCTACTCAGCCTTTTTTTTCCTGTGCTGCACAAGAAATTAATTTCTAGCAGACATCTGCATGCTCCTAGAGGACAGATAAATATGTTCAAATCAAGGGTACTTGGGGCTTCTGCACCTGTAGTATTGTTTTCTAATTGGGCAATTTCTTTACATTGTATTTATGTACATAGGGAAAAAAACACAACTCTTAATAGCAAATGAGAACCCCTCTTTAGTAGTTATCATGAGATTGAAGCACTCTAGAATAACAGACAAAGCTAAAATCATCCCCCCAGTTCAAATAAAAACTATTCCTCTACTTAGTAAGGGACAGCATTAATGTTTTTTCCAACATGTGCATGTATTGCTATCTCTATACCAAAAAGACTGGATTTTGCAAGCAACAAATAAATCATGGCTCACAACAGTGAAAGGACATCAAAACTGCCTCATCCTCTTGAAGTGCAGCTGTTTCTGAATAGAAGGCAAAGGCTTTAACAGTACACAGCAACACACAATTGCAGGGGAGGGGGAAGCAAACTATCCAGTTGAAACTGTTAGAGCAGTTAGTTCAACTACCCAAATTGACATTTACCAGTCATTGGGTTAATTACAATAACTTTTATGAAATAGCCCTTGGGATCTTTAATGAGCACAGGCAGTCAGGACTCTAGCATTATTTCTCAGCTGAAAGCCATCAG